AAACCCCGATGGTGACGACTTACCATGAGCGCGTTCATGTGCCAGGGCACCGCACCCATCCTGTCCCTGTTGCGCTGCCTCCCCATTCCGTAGGGCATATTCCCATACCGTCCCATTCCCATGCCCGACATCCCCATCATGCCATAGTCGTAGTCTCCGTAGTCGCCGTAATCCCCGTAGTCGCCGTAATCGCCGTAATCCCCATAGTCGCCGTAGTCGCCGTAATCTCCGTAGTCGCCGTAATCGCCGTAATCGGGAACGAGGGCTTGGGAAAAGAGGGAAGGGAGCCTGTTGGATCCGGCACCCCCCATCCCGCGCCCACCCATGTAGTTCAACTCATTCCAACGAGCCGAGAGGCGCTCGGAGCTGGAGGAGGGCATGAAGTGGTCAGCGCGGTTGAAAGCGTTCAGACGCCCCCGATTCTGCACGCGGTTTTGGCCCCGTCCCCGGATGAGGCCGTAGTTGTTTCCTCGGTTACGGGCTTGATCCCTGCGGTTATCGAACGGGCTGCCGAAGGAATCGTTCCGATCGGCGCCGACTTCGCCGTAATCGTAGCCCGATCGATAGACGTCGCGGTCGTTCATCGAAGACCTCGAGTCGTAGGATTCGAAAGACTCAAATCTGAAAGAGCTGCGCGGGAGGAGACGGGGGTCAGCAGGGAGAACCACACCCCCACATCCATTGCATCCATTTTTCTCAAAATCCCACCGGCTTTGGCCAGAAAAAATGGGATTAAAACCATTTTTAAATAGGTTTAAAAACATTTAAGCCCTGCGTGGCTTTCTGTAGCCCACGCCACTTTTTCCTTAGTCTGGGGGGGGAAAAAAAAAAATTAATAAATATCGAAGCAGTGCGGTTTTCTGCACGAGTATCTGAACAGAAATCCCTCAGCGAGGTCGTAACTTTATCGACTTTACGGCACTAAACCACGCTGAATTACGTTTTGCCAGCGGAAAAGCAGATCCCAAAAGCTTCCCCGGGTAAAAGCTGCTTCTCGTTGCCTCTCAGCTGCGCCTCCGGGTGTGAATTAACAGGGATAAACCCCGCAGCACCTTGCCTGACAGCACCAGGCAAAAAAAAAAAAAAAAGAGGGCAAAATTTGAATTATTCAGTAATTCTTGCCAAAATCTGCATTATATTTCAGCAGCAAAACACGCACCGATAAGGAACAACTCTCCAGGCTGGCCTAAGGTAAGGCAGCAGCAGAAAAAAGAAATATAATTCCTGGGCAACCAGGAGGGAAAAGGGAGGCAGAGGAAGAAAAAAAATACTGTAAATTGTAAATAAAAAGCTTTGAGCAAAAGAGAGGAATTGAATCGAAAACGGACGTCGCTTTTAACGCTCGATAAGCACATCGAGTTTGATGCACTTGGGAGGGAGGGAGATGTCAAACACACACACATACGTGCATATGGAGGAGGAGAGGCAAAGAATAAGAAGTCAAGCTCGTCTGCCGGGGGAACGAACGCTGGATCGTGCCGGTGCAATTGGAAGAGCTTAAACTGAGTTTAAGAGTCCCCCAGGGCTCAGTTCTAGGGCCGCTCTTGTTTAATGGCTTTATCAGTGAGCTGGACGAGGGGATGGAGGGTGCCCTCAGTCAGTTTGGAGATGGCACCAAGCTGGGGGGGGAGCGTGGATCTGCTGGCGGGGAGGGGGGCTCTGCTGAGGGCCCTGGCCAGGCTGGATCCACGGGGGCCCCGGCCAGGCTGGGTCCACGGGGGGCCCCGCCCG